GTGATCAGCTCAGATAATAGGAAATGGTAACAGGATAGGTTTACACATCTTAAAATAAATGTACCCTTGAAGGGCAATTCATTGTTGTCTGGTACATACACACAGGTCACTCTGGTCTGTAATAGTTCAACTTAGACACCTATAGATATGTGTTTTCACTACCATCTCAACCCATCCCTGAAAGCCACTTCTTTCCTTGAAGGCATACTAGACTTGGTAACTTGCCCCCAGCAAGTCTCCTAATTCCTTCTTTGACCTGACAGCATTTAAAATATTGGGCAATGGGGCTTCCGTGGTGGTGCAGTGGTTGAGAGTCTGCCTGCTGATGCAGGGGACACGGGTTCGTGCCCTGATCTGGGAGGATCCCACATGCCGCAGCACGGCTGGGCCCGTGAGCCACGGCCGCTGGGCCTGCGTGTCCGGAGCCTGTGCTCCGCAACAGGAGAGGCCACAACAGTGAGAGGCCCGCGTACAGTAAAACAAACAAACAAAATATTGGCCAATGATTATGTATTTTGTGTGTGTGTGTGCTGAACATCTTAATTTGTTCAACCAATCCTCAAAGAATTTAGTTTCTCATAAAATCTATATTTGTCACCATTCTGATCACTCACTCAGGCAGAATCCAGCTGTAAGGAAGTATTTCCTTAGAAGGCTGGGTCTCATTTTGAAATCAGCAAGTATCATCCCACCCATATATGAAATATAGTGGGAGAATTACAGCCAATTATTTGGACTAATCCAAGGTGATATTCCATTAGGATGTCATAGTCACATATAATACCTTTTGAGCTTGCAGTCAACTATCGCAGTATAAAAGCAGGTAAGTTCCCTGGAGAAGGCTGATGGAGAGCGCACAGAAGGCTGAATTCAGCCTCCATCCCATCCTCCTTCCCCTCTCCAACCTGTGAAGTTGAGTCACGTGACAAGCACCAGTCAGACATTATTTCACGTTATGCTAAGATGAAGTCTGGCCGGAGGAAGCTGCTGAGAAACCTAAAAAGCCAGTATCTTAGCTTCAATTACATTTAGGTGGAGCAAGAGAGTAGACATTTTGTCTTAAACAAGAACTCTAAATGCCCACCAGAAACTACTTGTTCCTGTGATGCTAAGGACACAGCAGTCCATGGACACGGCTTCCTGAAGGCTTGAAAAATCATGTTTTTATTTACCTTATTTACCAGAATTATTTACCTTAATTCCTGATTCCCCAGTGCCCAAGCTACGAATCCTGATCTTTATTTAAAAACTTAAAGTACTACACATAAGAAACTGAAAATTGTTTTTGGAAGCAGGTAGGGTCATAAACAGTAAAATATTCCAAGAACGCACTAGGTGAATTTGTAGGTTTATGTTGGGTTGTCTACAAGTTTATGGTTTGTACTTAGAAAATTTCTTATCAGAAAACCAGGGACATAGCTTTAGGGCTGAGTTAACTCATATAGTGCATTTTCCAGTTAGATCTGTTTTTCTTTCCTTCCATTAATGATTGCCTATCAAAGGGTGATTTACTTTGAAATTTCTAAGTAAGGGCCTCTTACATGTTACTTTGCTAAGGTTTGCTCCTAGTGATCACTGCATACATAGTAATCACATGAGCACATGTAATATTCTGATGGTTTTATTAACAAGTATATAATACATATATTGCATACTGTATATAGTATATGAGGACTGTACAGTACAAATTTATGTTCACAGTTTGACATGACAAAATGTCATTACTGAATTCCCATTGGACTACCGAGTAGAAACAGAGAAAGAACATTAAACATTCACATCTTTAGTAAGAAAGATTACCAAAATGTTTCAGTATTTGCAAGTATACTAATGCATGCTAAAAACCTTTACCCATTCAGTCTTATTAGCTTATAAAATATATTACACTTTATTAAAAATTTCTGCATAGTTTATACAAGTATTAAAGTACTGTAAATGTAATAATCCTGCTATACTTGCAGGTATGGTTTAAGAGATGCTAAGCAGAAAGATTATTTTGACCCTCTAACACTAAGTACATAACAGCAAAAAAAAAAAAAAAAAAAGTGCTAGTATTTGTAAAACATAATATTGTTGTAGCCCTCGTTTAATTCATGTAAAATGGCTTTGTAAATGTATTATTTAAGTGAATTTGCAATCATTTAGAACTTGTTAACCTTGACCAACAAGAGAAAAAAGGCCACTCTGAGCAACTTCATGTATGACAGCAATTCCTTCAAGATGACTGTGTATTTTCAAACCGATCAAATTATTTTAAAACCTTAGACCTTTGAGATTGTCTTTAAAACAATCTAATCAGGAATGATGTGTAGATATACAGTATCAGCAATATAGTTTTCCAAATTCCACATTAGTGCAACACTGATAGTGCAGATGGGTGTTTAATAAAATATACACATTCATATATAGTTCCCCTGTAAATCTGTTCTAAGGCTCTTGAAACTTCTGATATTTAGCATTTCCTTAGTTGAACATAGCTATGCTGCTAACACATTCTCAAAACCAGGCGATTTAGAATGTTAATGCCCATTTGCGATGTAGATTCACACTTTAGAACTCTAAAATATGATGGTTACAGATTTAATTTTTCTGACTTCTCCCCCAAGATGACACTTGGATAATAATCAAAGAAATCCTATAATAAACAGAATTTATACAACACTAACTTCATGTTTACAAATCATTCTCATCAATTTAAAATATTGCAATTAAAATCACCATTGATAGTAACATGGCATATCATTAAAACCACACGTTCAAGGGTACCTTATCTTGTATTGGGGGTCTTCCACAATAACAGCTAAAAATTACTAAGAGAGTAAATTTCTCAACTATCATAGTAAAATACAAATATATATAAAAAAGGAAAATTTGGTTAAGAGCCAATTGGTAACTAAAGTATATAGACCAGCGTGGGAACAGAGAACAGCTTCCTGGGTTGCTTTTCTTTGAGTTGAAATGTATCTTTGTTAATGAACTGTTAGCATAATCGAAGCAAGCTGAATAGTAATGTAAGTCTTTGCAGGGTATTGCTTGCTTTTCTGAAAAAAAATGTCAATATGCCATAGCATACACATCAAATTTCATGAGAACCCATGAAGCTTTCTATCAGCTGGACTTAGACTCACAGCTAATTATTCAAAGATCAATTCTATCCTTTCTTGCCCCTTTTCCCACCTTCAAGATGGGTTAGAACACACACAAACTGGTTATCTCCATTAAAACAAAAATGTTCTTTGCACTCCAACTTAATTCTTCGGTGTGTTGTGGAAGAACCATTTCAAGCAATAAACATTTTGGCATGAATGTGACTAAGCATCTACAATACAGACAGTACCTACTTTTCCAAGAGCCATTTTCTTTTTTTAATCCCTCAATTCATGTCATAGTTGCAAAAAAAAAAAAAAAAAGCCTCATAAGGATGTTTTAATATTCTAAACAAATTTTGCAGTGCTTAAAAAAAAAAAGAAAAACCAAGTGCCACAATAACAAATTACTTTGCATTTCTCAACTACATCTCCTTTCAGTTGGATCCGAGGGCTTACGAGTGGGATCTCTTAGGTGTGCAGTCCCTACAACTAACTTTTATTCACACGGCGCCATCAAAGTAAGCTCCCCACACAATTCGCAGGCCTCCAGAATCACTCATGCACTGTCTTAAAAACAGTTGAACAGTGTATTCCTCCCAGTTAAGGTTGTGTTGGATCCTGAGTTGTGGCTGGGACGAATCTTCAGGATTCCATGCTTCTCTCTGCTCCTCCATCCTTTATCGAGGGATGAAGGTGCATTTGCTTCAATGCACCCACACTACACCACTGTCGCCCACTTTCTTCAAATTTAGGACCAATGGCATTTCTACGCATAAATTATTTTTACTGGCATTTACACTATGGTGCTCAAAAGCCTGCTTCTGAAAAACTTCCCCTAAATAATGGTGCTATTAATCTTCAACATAAACACGAGTCATTTTCAGTTTGTTCTTCTGACAGGATACTTGATAGTGATAGGAGATTGCCAGCTCCAACAGTAAACATTTGGGAATTTGAGCTACATTTATGAATCCCTGAACTGTGGTTTTCTAGATTTTTCAGAAATCTGTCCCCCAAGAAAGGTATGTGTGCTTCACAACTATTTATATTTACAAATAGTGTCTCTCAGGTCTTAAACTGAAGGAATCTACTAAAGCGTTAGCAGATGCTTATTTATGATATGTGTCATGTACACAGATGACAGCCAATTTGGCACCTTACAGCTCACACAGAAAAGTCTCCATATGAAGCCTCCATGATTAATTTGATAGGGGAATACAATTACCACTCAACGTTTCCCTGTTTGCAAAAAAGCTGTTAAGTAGGTGGGGTAAAATAAGGCCATTAAAGAAAACCATTCATACCCTTACCCAAAAGATTTTTTCCCATTACTGAGCAAATAGTTTTGTGGCATCCCTATCAATGCTTGGTAATCCACATTAAGGACATTGTAGAAACAGAGACAGGTGCATGGAGAACCCCATCAGTATCTGGCTTTGCAGTAGGGTTCCGCACAGCTGAATGTGCATAGAGACTGAAGCTCTGGGAATGTACTGCCCAGCGAACCAAATGATGAATTGTCTCCGAAAAGCCCTAGGCGAGCAGGAA